AGAGAGAGAGAGAGAGAGAGAGAGAGAGAGAGAGAGAGAGAGAAAGATTCTCTCAGAAGCAAGAACTCCTATAGGGCCTTTGCCAAATGATCAGAATGGGAAGCTAAAAAGTCTATGCACTGAGCATGGGGGGCACATACCTGTAATCCAGCTACTTGGAAGGCTAAGACGGGGGGATTGGATGTTTAAGCCAGGCTCAGCCATATACATATATTTGTGGTTTAGATTTGAGAAGCAATGTGTCTACACACCTGATGTTTTTAGATGTACCAAGGAAGGCTCTAGAACTTCTGAGAAAACCAGAATGCTAAAGATCTAGCTAGAGCAGTCAAGAAAACACAGAATGGGGAAAATATGCCTGCAGACATATTGTAAATGAAAACATCAGAGGCCAGCTGCTGCCGATCCTTTTTATTATTACTATGGTTGTCATTTGAGACAGTGATGATAGGAAGCAATTGAAAGTTGGGGAGACCCAGGGTGAAAGCAAAGCCCGTTGTTAGGGATGAAGGGACATCTTTGACCAGGTGTTGTGACCTGAATGTACTGGGGAACAGGTACTAAAGAAGGCTCTTGGAGGGTCCTACCCAGAAGAGCCTTGGGACCCACTGTCATGGAAATGCCCCTCCTTTCATTCGACCTGAGGTTTCTGCTCTCAGCCCTCAGAATCCCACAAGAAAGCTAGAGGGTTTAGCACAAAGGGAGCTAAACAGAAGAACAGCTTAATAGCACATGTCTGGCTTTCAGGGAGAGGAGGCTGGAAAGGGAACCCGGAAGATCTTCCTGCCAGTTCTTGCTTTCTTTAATCCATCAGGACAGTGAATGCTTAAGAATTTGAGGGAATTGGTTTTTTAGCTACATGAGATTGACTGAGTCATCTACTCTTTAGATGTGCTTTTCACTTTGGGATAGATAGGAAAAACTTGGTATTTCAGTGTCAGAGATTTGGGTAGATAGGTTTTCTTAGCCTTAATTTTCAGTGCACACACATACATATCACAAATACACTATCTGCTCACACAGAACTGCTCATGGGTGCATTAAAAGCTGTACAGGTAGCACTGCGTGGTTTGGGCACAAGGAGTGGAGTGAAAACACTGTTAGACATGTCTTTGCAGTGGGAAGCAGATGGCTCCTTCTGGCCAGTTTCTAGGCTTTACAATTGGGTTCGGGATTGGTTTAGGTATTGCATGATGTCTGACTGGACAGTGCTGACAGGAGTCTTGTGGAACCAGCGCATGACAGGGACTCCATTGGACCCCACCAGAAACTTCTCAAAGTTCCAGCGGATGTCGTGAACTTTCATGGGCTCCCAGAAGAGATATTCTGAAGAGCCTAAAAATTCAGAGGTTGGAGGGCAGGAATTCTGGAGCAGAGACATGAAAAATGGAAAGAGAACCTCATTTCTGTTCTGTTGGTCCAATCTCCTCACCTCCACCCACCACTGTACATCTTAGTGTTTTAACTGATTCATGTGTGGCCAGTCCATCACAGACATTTGGTACATGGCCACCAGCAAACCAACTTCGGTCTAACCAGGCTAGAAAATATGACAGTCAGTGACAAGCACCCCTAACCCCTGCTTCCCTGCCTGTCATCCAGACTCATGACTTTATCATGATGCATCAGTAAAGGAATGGCTTCCATTTTCTTAGGTCAAGTCTTGATTTTTATGGTTTCAGTTTCCTTAAATGAAAAATAAGAGGTTGTTTTAAGGTAGTAGTTCCCAGAGTTTTGGGCTTCATAAGCTGTAAAAGTTCAATAGTTATTTTGAAAATAAGAAAAATTAAACACCCATTATAGGGGCTGGAAAGACAGCTCAGTGGTTAAGAGCATCTACTGCTCCTCCAGAGGCCTGTGATTTGATTCACAGTACCCCAGGTCGGGCAGCTCACAGAAATCTGTAACTTCAACACTGCACTCGCATACATAGATACACACATATACACATAATTAAAGGATAATAAAATAAAATATTTTTAAATATTTTAAACCTTAAGTTTCTATCTTAAGAGATTTTTAATTTGATTTTTTTTTTAAGAACAAATTTTGGCTGGGCATGGTGGCACACACCTTTAATCCCAGCACTCGGGAGGCAGAGGCAGTCGGAGCTCTATGAGTTCAAGGCCAGCCTGGTCTACATAGCAAGTTCCAGGACAGCTGGGGCTACAGGGAGACCCTGTCTCAAAAAAAAAGACCAAAAAAAAAAAAAAAGAATAAATTTTAAGGGGCTGGAGAAATGGCTCAGTGGTTAAGAGCACTGTCTTCTGTTGCAGAAGACCCAGATTTGAATCCCAGCACCCACATGGCAACCAACAATGATTTGTAACACCAGTTCCAGGGGATTTGACACCCTCTTCTGACCTCCTTGCACATTGCAAGACATGAGTGCATTTACATACATGCAGGCATTATACTCACACATAAAATAACAACAACAACCAAAAAAAAAAAAAAAACCATTTTAAGAATAATGTTTAAGTTAGAATGGACAGTGCATTAGAATGAAAAAGTCCACAAATGAGCCAGACTGAATCCCAAGATTTGTTGGAGAAACATTGTTGACTGGATGTGGAAAACCTGCCATACTAAAATCCTGAAGCACCTCTTTCCACCCAAGCTTGAATTTGTTTTTGAGGGCAGACTCCTTTGTTTGGAGAAAAGCATTTTATTGGGTCTTTTGGTTAGGCCAAGGTAAAGTTTCAGGAGTTAAAACTGGTGGTTTTGGAGGTAGGACTAGTGGTACAAGCCTTTAGCTTAAGATAGATTCAGGTTAGCCTGCAATGTGACAAGGGAGAAAGTCTGGATATTAGAGGTCCTTAAATTTTTTCCAATCTAGTAGCATAAAAATGTTGTTTGCATTTGTATGTTTATTGTGAGACCGAACATCTATATGTTAAGGATAACGTTATTCCTTGGGGCAGATAACAATGGGGATCCATTTCTTCACTTCTGGAATGAAGTTTGGCTGATTGGTACAGCCCTGCCAGAACTATGAGACTAAACACGTTCTCATTTATTATTTTTTAACTTTTTGGTTTCACTCTATAGCTCAAGTTGATTTGTAACTCAGTATATAACCCAGATTGACTGTGAACTCACAAGCCCTCCTGCTTCAGCCTCCCAAATACTGGCATTCCTTTTCAATATTAAGGTTAGGTCTTTTTTTTTTTTTTTTTTTTTTTTTTTTTAAAGAAGGGGCCTCCCTGTAACCCCAACTGGCCTGGAATTCACCATGTAGACCAGGTTGGCCTCGAACTCACAGAGCTCTGCCTGCCTCTGCCTCCCAAGTGCTGGGATTATAGGCATGCATCATGCCTGGCTAGGCTTAGCTCTTTAAAATTAAAGATACCACTATTTTTATTTGTTTGTTTTGAGGAAGGACCTTGTGATGCAGCTGTGGTTGGCCTGGAACTAACTCACTATGTATACTAGACTGGCATCTGACAGTTGTCCCTTGCCTCTGTCTCCCAAGTGCTGAGATAGGCATGAGCCACCTTGTTTGACAGTATCACTACTTTTGGGGGGGAAAAAAAAGGCAGTTCTTGTGGTATAACCTAGCAGTAACTTAGTACTGGAGTAAATAAACTTCACACTTTCATATATTCAATAAACTGATCCTTATATTCATTTCAGTTTGCTGTGGATGAGTGAAAATGTCAACAGGACCATCCTACAGACCATCCTTTGTGGACAAGTGACTAAGTGATCCTTGGAGTCCTTTTATCCTGGAATTCTGTGGCTGTAATATTCTGTGAATCTTATCTCTTGGCACTCTCCCTAATCCAAGTCTATGTCATTTCCTGACTATATAACAGATCCTTCAGGGAAGAGACTATGCCTTATTCATATTTGTTAACTTGTATTTCACAATTCCTCAATTAAGTAGGGACTTGAAAAATGATTACTGAATAAAGGAATCATTAACATTCTGTAGGGTTAGTCAGTCATGTCAATAGAGTCTCACTATGTATCCCTGGCTGTCCTAGAACTTACTATGCAGAACTGAATGGCCCAGAACTTACAGAGCTCTACCTGCCTCTGCCTCCTAAGTGCTGGGATAAAAGGTATGCATTGTCATGCCTGGCCTGAATTTATCCCTTTCTAAAAAGCCGCATCCCACCCTAGACACCAACCTCAATGCTTCAGCCTCTCTACCTGAGCATGGATCAATGCCAGGTTTATGTTCACTCACCTTCAGGAAAGAAAAGACCTCCTGTTCTTTTTTTCCATTCACATCCCCTTTCTCAAAGAGCTGAAAATTGGGGACATAGCCTCCACCTGGACGTACATATCTGCAGTAAAATAAAGTATTCTCAAGAGGATCCAAATTAAGTTAAGGAGGATAGGAATGGTCACCAATGGTTCCCCACCAAAGACTGTTAGGAAGGCTGGAGGTTGTAAACAAAGAGAATACGAGAGGTCTCTGGGAATCAAGCAGCAGACTTTATGGAACCAAGAGAGAATTCTAAGAAAAATAAGAAGGGACTATTTGACCTTAGACTTCCTGGTCCATCCCCATTTCCTATATTTCCTTCTTTCCCCTGTATTTTTTTTTTCCCCCATTAGATCTTCCCTACTTTTACCATCAAAGAGTCCAGGGTAGGGAGAATACTTCAGCACCGCGAACAGGGTTAGACTGAATTCAAAGCATCATGATGACATCCTTCAGCCCATTGTTCTATCACCTACCCCAGAAGATTCCAGAATGGGAAAGCCTCCAGGAAAATGAGGAAAGGGACTCTCCAAGGTCCCCCACAGGCACTCACTTGAGCCCAGACAGGATCTCTGAGTTCTTTCCGGGTTCTTGTTTTCCAAACTGGTTACAAGGAAAACCCAACACCAGGACGTTGAATGACTTCAGCTCCTCCTGCAGTGTATTCAGTTCTGTAGGTAAAGGTTGAAGAGGGTGGGCAGACAGACTCCCTGCTCATCATAAAGGCCCACTGGACTTACTCACTTGTCGTAGTAAATACACTGAGGACTATGAAAAGCTACAGAGATGGAGTGGGCGGAGCAAACATCAAACACAGGTCTCCAGAAACTCATCTCAACAGCTGCTGGCTTTGTTGCAGTGTTTCCCATACCCCATTGCACTTAGTTGTGCATTGGTGGCTTTTATTGAAAGCAAACAGACACAGGTGGATTAGGTTCATGAAGAATCCCGTTTGATTGTGAAGGTCAGCCAGGCTCAAGCCTCATTAATTGCTGTACTGATTGATCGAATGCTTTTCAAGGAAAAGGCAAGCAAAATGGATATACTCTTCTCCTCTTATGTCCCATGATGATGCCCCTGACTCTATGGTCACTGTCCCAGGAGCACACGCTGCTGCTGGCACACCAGAAGTGGTAGAAGGAATCAGGAATTCAGACCAGCTGGATATGGCAGTGTATATCTATAATCCCAGCACTTGGGAAGCAGAGGCAGAACAATGGCCACGTGTTGTAGGTCATTCTGGTCTACACTGTAAGTTCCAGGCCAGCCAGATCTACATAGTGAGATCCTGTAGAAAGGAAAAGAAGGAAGGAAGGAAGGAAGGAAGGAAGGAAGGAAGGAAGGAAGGAAGGAAGGAGGG